GGTTGCTAAACTTGTTCTGTCACTAAGACAATTACCATTAACTTCCGAATTAATTATTATTTTTAAGATTTAAGATAAGTCTATGAGTATAATTTAAACAAATAATGATTTTAAAACAAAAATACTGAATATAAGGGTAGTAAAAAAGCAAATCATCACGAGTTTTCGTCTGGTTTTGTCAAATGTTATTTATTTTTAATAAGGTAAATGTTATTTTCTCATATAATTATAGTAATTTAATATGCACAGAGATTCTGGGTATAATTCTCACGGTTTTTTTATAAACTCACTTTATTTTGAAATTCTGAGTTGGGGTTAGTTGAGCATGGTTGCTAACTTGTTCTGTCACTAAGACAATTACCATTAACTTCCGAAATTAATTATTATTTTTAAGATTTAAGATAAGTCTATGAGTAATAATTTAAACAAATAATGATTTTAAACAAAAATACTGAATATAAGGGTAAAATACGATACTGTTTTGTTGATTCTACTTTTCGTCAATTATTCAAGCAAAGTTTTGTTTTCTCTGTCAATAAAGACTATAAATATAAACTGGTTATTAAAAACTTATTTTATTTCATTATTAATCGACCTTGAACCTATGATTTCATTATACTTTCTTAGTGCTCAACTTGCCCCATATATGGGGTACATTGAGCATACTTGACTTTTTGCATTTAAACAGCTGTAGCTTTTAAATTTTACTTATTACCAAAAAATAGTTAACACTTTTGTTAAGCGATAAACAACAAATCCATTAAGCCGTATAGCAATTTATTGAGCCTTTTCATTGAGGAGCTACATCCGTTTAAGTAAAAATTTGCTCAACTAGCCCCGCCCTACCCTACTCATTTTCTCAAGCTTTGATGAATTTTGGAAATTAAACTACTTGTCGCAAGGCCGTAATATTTCAGTAAGTTTTATAAGACCATGATGTATATCGCCAGAAAAAGTTCCATAAAAATCGGTTTAATTTTTTTTTTCAACAGTTAATTACAAGAAAACGGCTCGGTAGATTTTCACCTAAAACTAATCAGTATCATTCTCAACTAATATCTTTCGAACAGTTTCTGATTTTTTTAAATCGGTTCGGTAGGATGAGCTTAAATGTGGACGAAAAATTTAACACTCTTTCCCAAATGAGAAAGAAACGCTTGGCAGATTGTCGCACAAAACTGACAAACTATAGTCCTAATCGAGATACATCAAACGGCTTTTAATTTCTGAAATCGGTTCAGGCGTTTTTGAGAAACGTCGATCAAAGGTCTAATTTTGACAAATGCCAAAAAAACGATACCAATTTTTGCAAACTTTGACTAATTTTTAAAGCTAAACGAGTTGTCGTAGGGCGTAATATTTTAGTATGATCTAGAAGACTATGGTATCTATCGTGAACAAAATAATAATAAAAATCGTCGAAAAAAAATTTTTAACACTTTATTACAAGAAAAACGGCCGGCCGATCTTTACCAAAAACTAATCAGCACGATTCCCAACCAATATCTTTCGAACGGTTTTTGAATTTTCATAATCGGTTCAGAATTGCGGGCTAAAACATGCACGAAAAAATTTCACTTTTCTGCTATTTATAAAGAAACGGTTCGGCCGATCATCGCACAAAACTCAGAAACGTTAGTCCTTATCGAAATACATCGAATGGCTTTTAAATTTTTGAAATCGGTCCAACATACTTTTTCCAAATTTGGTCTCATTCGATTCAGAATGGCTTGAATTTTTTGTTTATTCACGACTAAAATATTGATTTTCCAAATTTATCACACAAAAAATCATCGTCTGCCTTTGTGATGTATTTATCGTCAATGCATAATATACACGTCTTGAAAATTAAAGTCTTTTAAAAGGTATAACAAATTCAGAAAGAATTAATATATAGCATTCGCGGTAAAGGTTTAATATCACCTTGGATTTTTCTACCCAAAATAATTTCTTGAATAATGTTGTCTATAATTTTTATAATTTCGTACCATATTTTAACTGGCTTTTAGTAATTTTAATATCTAAATTACATTTTTCTCACTAATAATTCAATATACATTAATACTTAAGTTTATATTTGAAGTGAATTATTTTTGTCAAATCCTGTAGTCGCAGAAGTACTTATTTTAAAGCTTATTTTGAGCACTATAAAACCCCATTTTCACATCTAGCCTAATATTGTTTTTAGAACACTTTATAAAAACATCGATTTATTAAGATTTTAATTATTATAATTTTGTTCATTACATGATTTTCGTTGAAATGTATACTTTTAGAAATATTTGCAAAAAAGATGAAAAACGCCAAAAAGAAACAAATTTTCAGTAGCCAGTAACTTGAAAAGTATTTGCTTTTTTGAAAAACATTATTAAACATTTTTCTCTTCTAATTAGTTTTTTTATCGATATCCGACGTTATTTGAAAAGAGATACAATTGCACCACTGAAAAGGGATGTCATCCCCGGGAAGTGGCAAAGGAGTCTAAATTATATTCACTCTTAAACTTGAGAGTAAGATAAACCTAATTCTAAAATTTAATGCAAATTGGAAAACATTAAAAATATTCAGATCCAAAATGCTCCATTGACCTGAGTAAATATTTATATCCAATGACAAACATATGAATTTTTGACACAATGGAACTTCTAAATAATTTTTTGAATAGGTAAATTATTTTTGAATTGTGATTTAGTAAAGTAAGACAAAACACGGCTGCATTTAAAAATTAAAAAATAATAATCTGGCAAAATTGAATCACTGACTGCCCACAATCGTCAGACGCATGCGCAGACTGCATCACCTGTCAGACGCATGTTGACTGTATATCTTATATTATTTTCATTTTTGGCACATCTTTTTGGCAATAATAATGTAGACATTTGTAGAATTTATTATATTTTAATATTGTCTTAGCCTATAAGTGAATGGAAATGTTTGGCAAATGACAATCTTCATTTGTTTTGAATGTCAAACTATGCTTCAAATATTTTCAAGGTCAAACAATGATAAGCGGTTTTTTATAACTTTTTTCATTTATTTCTACAATCTAACTATGAATATATTATAATATATATATTTCTATGAATCAAAAAAATCTTAGAAAATTTCCTTAACAAACTTCATAGAGAATTATCAAAATCCAAATAGTCGTTTAGGAGAATTAACCATTCATACGCCATTACAGAAAAATCGTATATATAAGATACACACACACACAGGGCCGATCCCGCCTTACATGCGATGCATGCAAAAAATGCGGGCGCAAGCCTTAGGGGGCGCCAAAACGAGTTTCGGAAATTAAATTTATAATATAATATTTATATTTTTTATATAAAATCAAGAATTAGTCATTTAAAATCTAAAATACTTATTAAATTATAATAAATAATTTAACTTAACTAGGGATACGGAGACACAAAAAGTATATTTATTTTGCAATGTGATATCAGTAGGAACAATTAACCGATTAATAATTCTGCAAATTAGTAAATAACAGCTCTGTTTATTGCTTAATCTACTTATTTAATTTTTTCTTTGTTTGAAGTTACCATGGAATCGAAAAAGAAATTATCTAGTGTTCAATCCCATAGCGCAAACCTGCGAAAGATTAAATTAATTGTTGGACATTATTGACGAAAAATTGCGAGCTAATTTAGTTGAATCGAAATTTGTTAAAAAATATATACAAATTATAAAAAATGGGGGATCAGTGCTTAGAAAATGACTTGTTTATTCCGAGAAATTGATTTGTAACTATTGCTTTTGTTGCAAATGTTTCGCATCTGACGAATTTTGAATGTTGAAGACATGCGTGGTTGGGGTTATGGAAATGGAACAATATGAAAAATGGAAGCAAAATTTACTTTGGAACAAAAATCTTAAGGCTTGTTTTATACCTAGTGGTGTCCATACTCTAAATTTAATAATTATTGACTATACAGAAATAATACATATCAAATATGATAAGTTTTTTTTTAATATTGTTCAAGAAATGTGTAATTTCTATGCATTTTTTACTGATTTTTTAACAATACTTCTAAAATACGTTAAAAATTTAACTTTAAAACATCAAGCTGATATGACGGCTCTTACGATATCAATAAGGAGAAGTTTACGACGCAATTTTGGATATTGTAAATGATAAAAAATTAAATTAAATTAAAATTTAAAAAATCCAACATGAAATACGAGTGTTATGTTTGAAAATTAAATGCTAGTTTTTTTTAATATTAATATTGTACATACGTTAAAAATAATTGAAAATTTCAAAATACTTGATTATACAACCCCCGAATCGCCTCGATTTTCTAAATAAATTTTAAATCAATATATTTTATACGCTTTTAGATTATATCTAATTTTTTGTGCACTAAATCCAGAGCAATTAAAAATTAATTTATTTATTTCAATTATTATTTTTGTTAAATTAAAGTTATATAATTTAAGAAATGCATTTCAGAAATAGTATTTATTATTTTGATATCAAGATCTTTATATCAAAATAATAATAACTATTTCTGAAATGCATTTCTTAAATTCTATAACTTTAATCTAACAAAAAAATTAATTCTTTTGCTGTGGTAGTGGAACTTACACCCTTAACCAATTTACTGCATATTAAATACTACTAAAATGTGAAATCACAACAGGGATTGTTTTATTTGTTAATATCGATAATAATAAATAAATTTAAAATCAATATATTTTATACCCTTCTAGATTATATCTAATTTTTTGTGTACTGAATCCAGAATAATTAAAAATTAATTTCTAAAAAATATGTAAATATTTATATAATTTTAATGATAAACTGTTAAAACGTTGAAAATTAATAGGGGGGGGGGGCGCTAGAAAAAAAGTTGCATGCGGGCGCTAAGGACCCCAGGACCGGCCCTGCACACACACACACACCCTTATTATATTTAATTTACATATATTTTAATTAAAATATATTTAGTTATGTAACTGAAAATAACAGCATTTCCAAAAAAATATTTCACCTTTAGCTCGTCGGCTTCGATATAACCGCTTCCATCTGCATCATACTCTCGCCATATCTGTAACAAATATGTTCATTTTATATTACATATGATTGATTTTATGTTACATATGATTATACTTACTTTCATAAACTCTACACTAGATTCTAAAGGGTTGTCAAATCTAAAAAGTAGAAGAAAATTTTCTTCCATTGGGAGCAACTGAGCCAACTAAAAATAAAATAAATTATTCACAATTATACACATTATTCATTATTACAAATTATTTACATTATAACTGAAACTGATTTATAAATAGGTTCTTATACATGTGTACGCATGTGTGCCTATCGAAAACAACTTTCTTGACATTTTTTCGAGTGATTTTCGAATAAATTAAGATACCAATGAAGAAAATTTTTGTGAAACCTAGCACTAGAGTATTTTATACTTCTGGTAATACTTTTTTAATTTTGCTTACTAAACTCAAATCAAAATTTGACCCAAAAACCAGAAGCAATCTATTACAAAAGATTAATTGTTTCATTGGCGAACTTTGGAACATAAAAACAATTTGAGAAACATAATATAAAACAAAACTATGCTCGCTTAACGCATTAATATTTACCCGACGATATTACATTTTGAATGTGAAGTAAAGACACAAATAAAAGAAATGACAAATTCGTCTAAACATATTTTTTGGCATTTTGCAAAAACCTTAAAACTGAATGAATCGTGTCACTTTTATTACTTCCTTAAATCATATTTTTACCAGTACATAAATTTTCCTCTACTCTGTATATGTAGTCTAAGCGCCAGTAAACTATTTATTCACTCACAAAGTTAAAATATCATTAAAAAAATTCTAGCTTTGTGAAGACAATTTAGTCAAAGAGTTTACTGGCTTTTCTAGTAATAGTAGTGTCAACTTGTTAACTTAAATTGCGTTTTCTAACGGGAAAATCTAGTAACGTTTTTCGTAAAAGTAAACCGTTCTGCATAATATAGTCATAGTAAAATTTTAGTTTTTGTAAATATCATCGACTAATTTTCTGATGTATCTTAATTTATTTAAAATTTATCAATCTTTGATAATGTGTAACAATTTTTATATTTGCCAAATTGATGACTAGTCATTTCGATTAATGTGGATTAGCACACCTGGTGTTAGCTTAAACAAAACATTGGGGCTATTTATGATTGGATGGAACTGGCGACTTTCAAGGGGTCTCAAAATAAAAATGGGTCGCACAGCATATTTATAAATGAAACAAAAAGTTTAAAAGTTAGAGATACTAAATATAAAGCTTTAACAGACAATTTAACAAAGTGTAATATAGATATTGTTTATTTAACTGTACCCGCATCTTTGATTATATCAATACTCAATAAGATACTTTGGCCTAGATTTCTTTTAAAAAATAAATTTAAAAACGTAAATTTTTATGTTTTAAACTTTCTACCTCAGAATAATTGAAGAAGGTTTCTGCTTTTTTGGAATATGTTTCCCTATGTGTCTAAATATTGTAAGTTGGAGGAATAGTTATATTTTATTTAATTATGATTTGTCTTTAAAATTTGGTTTGTTAGCACCTTTTTCCTACTCATTTTTATTTGTATGAAGTTTTTTTTTAAGATTTGTTAAAGCGTTTTTTACTGCTTTAGATATAACTGCATAAAATAGAATGACAGCAGCCACCAAGTCAAGATTATTTTTTAATAAAATCTTAAAAATAGGATTTTAATCCGATATCACTCCTAATTTGTATGTTCGTTGGTTATTGCTTACAAAATGATTCTCATCTCTTAAAGTTATTGTGCTATAGGTGACTTATTATCGGTGAATTGTCAAAACTTAGAACCAGATAAGTATTGGCCTAGACATGTTTGTTGGCAATTCTATTTAGAATTTATAAAACATCACCAGAGACATCACCAGTGGTCATTATCTGTTACCCGTATCTTTCAAAAACTTTATAGAATTTTTTGCCTCTTGGATTCGCTAAATATATGCTGTGTTTTGATAAATGTTGCTTCAAGCCGTTCTTCGTATCGTATTTCTCGGCTCTATCCGTAAACTAATTTTCTTATATAGTACAAATGTAATCTGGTACATTCTTTTCTTGAATAACCTGCATAATGCTGTCCCAGTTTGCAGTCGAGAGCATGCATGATGTCTAATGTAGTCATCAGGCAACACACCTTTGTATCGTCCCTTCACCTTGTTCCTGTTATTACTTTTTTATGGGACGATGGCTTATAGACAACAAGATTTATTGAGTCTAGAGTCGTCTTTTTCCCGAATCCATACTGGTTGTTTGCCAGATGAGGGTCAATAATGCTTAAGTTCTTTGATGAATTATTTGTTCAAATGTCCAACTAGCTGTATCCAACATCTTTACCTCTCTTAGAGAGAAGTACAAACCACTTTCTAGGAAAGATTTTTTGTTTCAACATGTGTTTTGAACATAAAACAATAGACATGGCTCTGCTTTTATGATAGTTTTATTAAATTCTATGTCTTGAATTCGCTTTGTTCCTTTCTACACTGGTCTGTGACAGGTGGAATGTCATCCAGTTCATTAGATACAAATTGGTAACTACACCTCACACACTTCCTTTCAGATCCTTCCAGCATATTTGTTTACTATCTTTGGTTGCTTCATTCAAATACAGAATAGATTTTTTCTTACTCTGCGATCACTTTTTTACGACGAACACTGATATGATCTTTTCACCGGTACATCGAAGGTCTTGAATTTACGCAACCCTTACGAGGCATATTGGCGTCACAGGTGTGTATAACTTTTTTCATTAGGTTTTTGGCTATTTTAATAAAATTCTATTGAAAAGCAAACGTTAATACTTACTACATCATTTTCATTAGGTACGTAAAGCCCTAAGCTCTTTTACTTCATCGACATATGACAAGAAACATCAACACCTGTATAAAATGTACTTGTGACGAGTATATCTAGAAACATTACGTATTTTTCGTAATGGGAAAGGAAAACTTTTATGCACGCATGCACATGGTAAAATGTAACTAAATAATGTCAATTTCATAACTTGATAAAAAATATTATACCTCTCGTATATCTATTTTTCCATCATGATTCTATTTAGGATTTATAACACATCACCAGAGACATCACCAGTGATCATTATCTGTTACCCGTATCTTTCAAAAACTTTATAGAATTTTTTGTCTCTTGGATTCGCTAAATATATGCTGTATTTTGGTAAATGTTGCTTCCAGCCGTTCTTCGTATCGTATTTCTCGGCTCTATCCGTAAACTAATTTTATTATATAGTACAAATGTAATCTGGTACGTTCTTTTCTTGAATAACCTGCATAATGCTGTCCCAGTTTGCAGTCGAGAGCATGCATGATGTCTAATGTAGTCATCAGGCAACACACCTTTGTATCGTCCCTTCACCTTGTTCCTGTTATTACTTTTTTATGGGACGATGGCTTATAGACATCAAGATTTATTGAGTCTAGAGTCGTCTTTTTTCCGAATGCATACTGGTTGTTTGCCAGATGAGGGTCAATAATGCTTAAGTTCTTTGATGAATTATTTGTTCAAATGTCCAACTAGCTGTATCCAACATCTTTACCTCTCTTAGAGAGAAGTACAAACCACTTACTAGGAAAGATTTTTTGTTTCAGACATGTGTTTTGAACATAAAACTATAGACATGGCTCTGCTTTTATGATAGTTTTATTAAATTCTATATCTTGAATTCGCTTTGTTCCTTTCTACACTGGTCTGTGACAGGTGGAATGTCATCCAGTTCATTAGATACAAATTAGTAACTACACCTCACGCATGAGATCCTTCCAGCATATTTATTTAATATCTTTGGTTGCTTCATTCAAATACAGAATTGATTTTTTTTACTCTGCGATCACGTTTTTACGACGAACACTGATGTGATCTTTTCACCAGTACATCGAAGGTCTTGAATTTACGCAATCCTTACAAGGCATATTGGCGTCACAGGCGTGTATCACTTTTTTCATTAGGTTTTTGGCTATTTTAATAAAATTCTATTGAAAAGCGAATGTTAATACTTACTACATCATTTTCATTAGGTACGTAAAGCCCTAAGCTCTTTTACTTCATCGACATATGACAAAAAACATCAACACCTGTATAAAATGTACTTGTGACGAGTATATCTAGAAACATTACGGATTTTTCGTAATGGGAAAGGAAAACTTTTATGCACGCATGCACATGGTAAAATGTAACTAAATAATGTCAATTTCATAAATTGATAAAAAATATTATACCTCTCGTATATCTATTTTTCCATCTTGATTATCGTCATAAGCTTCCATGAAACAAGATTTGAGTTCACTCATCATGGCGTCAGGGACTATCTAAAAGTATTACAAACGCATATTTGAATTTTAATTTTTTTGAAACTACTAGCTATTTAATATTTATGTAGTATCTTACTTATGTTTATTACGGTAAATGTATACCTTTGGGAAATAAGCATCTTTACCAGGAATGTGCATACTTCCCAAAACGCTAGGTGAGTAGATCTGAACTGAATATAGTGCGTATGTACATTTCGCGGTCAATATTATTCTTCCCACAGAGTCGCAATCTGACTTTCGAACAGTGTACATCGAAATAATATTCAGGTAAATATATAGTTAAATTTAAATAAAGTGAAGTGAATAGAAGAACATAATACAGCGCTTGTAAACAAACCCGTTTTTATAGTGAGTGAGCCCCGTTCGGAACGGGGACAATTCGAAAATGGTGCAACGATATAACACAATTTGGGTGCAATTTGAAGAAAACAAATTGCGACCCAATGCGAAAGAAATATATCTATGGATATTTAAGAGTTTAGAACATTTAGAAAACGAAATGATCGGTTATCAAACGACGCCGAAAGGCATATATATCAAATTCAATAAATTAGAGATTTGCCAGAATTTAATAGAAAACGGTATTGACAACAATAAGATTCCAATGGAAAATAACGAATATAATAATATAAAAATAAAATATGCAGATGACAAATTTACAAGAATTAGAGTATATAGAATTCCCTTTGAAACAAATAACGAGACAATTGGGTTGCATCTATCTAAATATGGTACTGTTAAAAACATTCAGACCGAATATGTGGGTAGCTCTAAAAGGAATATAGATGATACGAATAAGAAATTTTTAACAGGAACAAGATTAGTGGACATGATTCTGGAATAGCCCATTCCATCTTTTATTCACATTAATGGCGATAAAGCGTTAATTACATATTATAACCAGCCGAAAACATGTGCGTATTGTTTTGAAACAACGCACATAATCAGCCAATGTGAAAAAAGAAAAAACAGTGAAAATAAGAAAGAATTATACTGCGAAATAACAGGAAATAAAGATGGGGACGAAATATTATTACAAGACATAGAAATAGTACCAACAGTAAATCAAGAATCAGTACCAATAGTTAACCTAGATATAGCAACAAACATAAATCAAAATAAAATAATAGAACAAAACGATGACGAGCCGATGAATATGGACAGTAATGCAGAAAATATAAACACTGAAAATGATCCGAACTCCGCAATAATACTAGCAAGTATTATAAATGCGAATATTGATTCAGAAAAAAACCCACAGAACAGAATGTAAAAAACATAACACAATGATGGAAACACTAATTGACCAACAAGAAAAAATTAGAAAAATAGTAGATAAAGTACCAATACCACCATTAAAAAATTCTAATGAATGTAACAAGGACAATAATTAGCCTTAATATTAACCAGATAATGAACCAATAATTACCAGAATTAACATAATCAGGAAAATATTAAGAGACTTTGATGTAGACGTGGCGTGTCTACAAGAAGTACCGTCGAATTTAAAAATTTCATGTTTTGGTTATGATGTGTTTTATAATAATCAAAACATTGAAACAGGTACGGCGATCATATACCGGAATACAATTGCTGTAGAAAATCCTGTATTATCAACTGATGGAAGAATAACATCAATCACTATTGACAAAAATAGAATTATTTATATTTATGCTCCATCTGGAAACAAAAATAGAAACATTAGAAATTCCTTCTTTGAAAATGATATACTGCCACATATCGTCGATAACAGTAGATTGATTTTAATAGGAGATTTCAATTGTGTGATAAATGCAAAAGACCAGCAAGGTGATTACACAAATTTCTGTAATGGTTTAAATAGATTAGTTCAACAACTGGATCTTAAAGATACATGGGAAAAGCAGTATGGAAATTTAGTGAAATTTACCTTCGTAAGACATTCCACAAAATCTAGGATAGACAGAGCATATGTATCTAAAAATATTGCGGATGCAATTAAGAATACAGAAATAATTCCGGTAAGTGTTAGTGATCACCATATGCTTAAAATAAAATATATAACTGATTATAAATTACCAATTTATGGAAAAGGAATATGAAAATTGAATACAGAAACGTTGAAAAACTCGACAAATATTGTTCAAGAAATATACAATAAAAATAAAAATACATATAAATATAAAAATGACGTAATAAGTTGGTGGATTGATCAAATGAAGCCAACAATTTCTTTTATTTTTATTTATTCATTATTTATTCAAATAGATGGCAATTGATGCAGCAAACATGAGAAGACAAACTATTAACAGTATGCAAGAATTGTTAATAGATATGTCACAGAAAGAAAATAGCGGAGAAGATTTAACGGAACAAATTAGAGAATTAAAAACAAGGATCATATTAATGCAAAAAAAGTGTTTAAATGGAACAATGATAAGAAGTAAAATTAAGTCTATTGATGAATATGAAAATGCGTCGTTATTTAGTTACGCTAAAGATATCAAAAACACAAACAGTTTGTATATAAGGGAGTTAAAAAATAATGAAGAAATATTTACAAAAACGAAAGACATTTTGGAACATGTTGAAAATTATTTCGAAGAAAGCTTTAAAATCCAAGATTCTTCAGAAAAACACCAAACAATGTTATTACAAAATATTACAAAATTTCTAACAACAACTGATGCAGAAGATCTCAATAAAGAGATAACAATCGATGAATTATGTGAGGTAATACAGAGTATGAGTAACAACAGGACACCAGGACCCGATGGAATACCATATGAATTTTATAAGTATCATATAGAAATCATAAAAAATTATTTTTTAAATATATTGAATAAAATTTTTCAAGATGTTAGAAATCAACGGCTATTCAAAGGGATAATAACCTTAATACCAAAAGTCAAAGAACATACCATAAAAAACTATAGGTCGATAACTCTTTTGAATTGTGATATAAAAATACTAAATAAAATTCTTGCTAACAGAATAAAATTTAAAATTAGTAAAATATTAGGTAGTGAGCAAACATGTAGTATACCGAATAAAAATATCTCATATAATTTAGAAGGCATAAGATCTTCCATAGAGTGTTGTGATATAATGCAAAATGAAAACATGGGAATTATGAATATTGATTTCCAAAAAGCATTTGATACGGTATCACATACATTTCTTTTCAAAATAATGAATAAAATGAATTTCCCATCAAAAGTTACTTATTTTGTTAAAAATTATTATAAGTTGTCGAAGTCAAAAGTCTTAATAAATGGAGACTTAATAAATTGAACAATCTATAAGACAAGGATGCCCATTATCATTGTTGCTATTTAGTATCGTTTTAGAACCGCTAATTAGGACTTTTCACAAATCATTAAATAGAACAAATCATATTTTTGCATATGCTGATGACGTGACTATAATTATGAGAAATATAAATGAACTGGAAATGATTAAACATATTTTAGAACACTATAAAAAAGCTTTAAATCTCACCATAAATGAATCCAAAACTAAAATTTTAGAAGTAGGAAATTGGAGAAGCAGGCAAATAAATACAAACATAGAAATAACTGATAGAATTAAGGTTTTAGGATTAACATTTAGAAGGAATTTGGAAGATACAACCATGGAAAACTGGAATAAAGTAAAAAAATAGTGTCAGAAATATATTATATAACGGAAAAAGTAGAAACTTCAATCTGATTCAGAGAGTAAGATTTGTGAATATATATGCATTATCAAAATTGTGGTATATTGCGCAAATCTTAACTGCTCCAAAGATTATAATTAAAGAAATTCAGAATATAGTGAATGAATTTATATGGCAAAACCATTTATATAAAATTCAAAGAAAACAAGTATGATGAAGGTGGATTAAACCTCATTAATGTAGAGAGAGAACAAAGCGAAAACAAAAATTTAATATTGAAATATATATTAAAAACGAACAATCAAGATCACATAAATATCACAACAAAACATATTTATTCTGAATTGAATAAAATTATAATTATAAATCCAATTGAAAGGAAATACCCAGATCTGAATTGGAATATAATTTGAAAAAATATATCTAATAAATATATTCCTACTTTATGGCGATCCAAAACATATCTTGTATTAAATGAAAAAAATGCAACAAAAGACCGCTTATTAAGACATAAGATAACAAATGCAATTTTTGCCAAAAAAATTATTCAATACAACATAAAATACAAGAATGTGGAATGGCTGCAACAATTTGGAAATGGACCACGGAAAAAATCAAAACAACTTGTGGTATAGACTTAGAAAAAATGGACATTAAAAATATTTTTGAAATCAAACTAAAAAATATTGAAAAGCAAAGAGCCTTACTGTGGTTTGTTTCTGCCACAGTATGGTATAATTTGGAGAAAAATAAATCACTATACGATTTTTTGAACGAAATTAGAAGAAAAAGGATGACTAGGAAGGAGTTAGGCAGTAATAAATATATATTTTGTTTTTAAATAAATTAAAATTTTGCTTTAAGCAATTCAGATTATGTTGATTATAGTTTTAAAATTACAAAGTATTGAAATAATTGTATTATTGATTGATTAATATATATAATTAAAAAAAAAAAAAAAAAAAAAAAAACTGTGTTTTGGTAAATGTTTACTTTTGAAAAATAGTTTTAAACTAGTGGTGTATGAAATCGTGCCTCGAGGAATATTAAATGTATTCAAATATATTATTAAAAATACTAATAATTGTTAATAATTATAAGAATTGTATAAACTGAATTGCAAAGTTGAAATTATTTGTTTAAAGTATATTAGAACTTTGGTCAGAATTAAAATTAAAATCTGAATTATTCTCGATATACAAAACAAAATTTTCTGAATTTGAATATCCAAAAGCAATTATTTTGTTAAAACAAGCAGAAAGTTTTTTGAATCAATAAAATCAGACGCTTAGTCCTCTCAAAAACTGCCATTTTTTGAACACTTCAAATTTAGAACTGTATTTTCGAAATTGCCTGCCTT